CATGGGGCATCGGAATCGACCTGGGAGATTTGGGTTTGGAATCTTTACGAAAGCAGATAAAGTGAGTCTGAATCTTTATGAAAGCAGATAAAGTGAGTCTGAACTGTTAATATTTTGGTGAACAACAGAGTTAAGCATTGAGTCACCAAAAACACTCACATTTTTGTAGACTCCCAAACACTGTACAGTAGAAACTTTAAGGGCAATGCCTGTCATGGAACTGCATCAGTTCAATTATGAGTTTAGTGACTCAAACAGCTTGTGCCTTAGTCTCCCTATCTGTAAAATGGGGGTAAAAACAACACTGATAAGCAATACCCTGATTAGTGGAGAAAGGACTGAGGCTGTGTTTCAGTTCACTTACATCTACAATCAACACCTATAAAAGCCGCACACAATACATGACACGACACACTGCAATGGGCAAATTGGCTACAAAGGACCTCTTCTAAGTGTGAAAGAACATTTGAAGACTAAAGTACACCTGATCCAAGCCATGGTATTTTTCAACAGGCTCGTCGAAGACAGAAAAAGAACTGATGTCTTTGAATTATGGTATTGATGAAGACAGACTATAACATGAGCTGTCAGAAGAACGAACCTGTCTCTGCTGAAGTGTAGCCAGAATGCTCCTTACAAGCAAGGATGGTGAGGCTTCTCGTCACATACTGTGGACATACTATCAGGAGGGGCCAGCCCCTGCAGAAGGTCACCATGCTTTGTAAAGTAAGAAGTTGGTGACAAAGAGGAAGATCCTCAATCAGATAGATTATTAGCACAGTTGGTACAATAATGGGCTCAAACACAGCAACGATTGTTGCGCTACACGTAGAGGACCAGGTAGCATTTCGTTCTGTTACCCAGCGTTACTATGAGCCAGAATCAAGTCAAAGACATCTAACACCACCACCTTCCTCCATGTTCCACGAGTCGTGTCACAAATTACCACAAACGTGGCTGAAATAATTTGATTTTGCTCTCTCAGTTCTGGAGGCTGGAAGTCCAAACCCGTTGCTCTGGGCCAAAGTCAGGTTGTCAAGTGTTCAGATCAGATGGCTCTAGGGGACAATTTTCTTTGCCTTTTTCATTCTATAATGGTCACATCCCTGTGATCTCTGCATCTCTGTTGACAATTTGTCTTCCTCTTCTCTATGTATGTCGTCTTCCTCTGCATTCCTCTTATGCAGATCCTCAACGCTGGAGAAGGATATCATTTTTGGTAAAGTGGCAGATGGGAGATATATAAAGTGAAAACAAGCCAATCAATATTTGTCAGTTGAAGATCTGAAGGAACAGAATTTGATTCATCTGTATAATGGAGTAGTACTGGGGCACAGAAAAGAATGCTACATGTTAAAACTGTATAGATCTTGAAAACATTGTGCTAAGTGAAAGAAGTCAGGCACAAATTATTCCATTTATGTAAAGTGCTTAGAACAGGTGACAAAGCAAATCCATAGAGTACCAGTAGTCAGGAGATCTGTACGTGTATTGTACTGGGAAAGCCTCTAGTTAGGGACCTCTTTAAATTAGTGAAGAGCAATGATGCTACTTTCAGAACTAAGGTGTGCGTGATTGAGGCCATGGTCTTTTCAATCACTTGCTAGGCATCTGAGAGATGGACAATGAATTAAGATGACAGAAGAATTGATTTCTTTGAACTGTTAGTGGAGAATACACTGAATAGTCTATGAATTGTCAAAATAGCAGATATGTCTTGGAGAAGGTGGAGTCAAAGTGGTCCTTGGAGGCAAAGATAATGAAGCTTCATCTCACATACTTTGGATATGTTGCTAGGGGAGGTTATTCCTGGGAGAGGGACACCATACTTGGAGAAGTGGAGGAGCAGCAAAGGATTGACAGTGACTGCAGGAGTGGGCTCAAAGCTGTCAGAAATGGTGAGGATGGTACAGGATAGGGCAGGATTCAGATCTGTTGTTCAGAGGATCGCTGTGAGCTGTATAAGATTTGATGGCACCTAACAACAACCAGTAAAGGACAAAAATAAGTTTGTGGTTGCTAGAGGCTAGAGGTACGGAAGAACATGGAGTGACTGCCAAGATTATATAGTGGTGGTGGTTGCACAAATTTGGGAA